TGCCTGTCACTACTGTTGACCTCTGTGTGAGCTCCTGCAGTCACAACTCAATAGATTAACTGAGGACAATATTTAATTAATGTAAATGTCTCTGCTTCTCACGCTGTCATTTAAGTTAGTCAATGGCCACAAATCATGATTAGATACGGCGGGCAAAGACACAAGCCGGTTTGTGGCTATCAGAACAAAGTCAGCCGAAGACCTGAGGGTGGGGAGGCTACTGCACATGGACTTCAGCCAGCACCTCCTCTGGTGCCAGATCCAGGGTGCGGGGGCCCCTTGAGAATATGTGTTCCCAGATGTTGCTGACACTGGCTCCCCGGACAGTATTTTGGATTGTACTTCAGGAGCATGTAAAAATGAGCAGGTGGGGAAAACCACTGTTCTATTGTAATAAACAAGTCTCAAGATGAATAAAATCAAAGTTTGTGGACAGTGTCAACAAAGGCCACCATCACAGAAAAAAGGTGCCTGGTTAGCTTTAACCTTGGTCTCTGGAGTAAGAGCATCCTCCTGTTCTTTGAGAAAAAAATAGCCCAGTGTAGTCTAGGATATTGTTGTTTGTTTGTTTGTTTGTTTGTTTGTCTGTTTGCATGATTTAGATGAGGGTCACTTGTCCCTCTTCTCCATATGCTTTTGGCTCATGTGACATGGCCAGTGTTAGCACCAACAGTGTGTCCACTGCAGTAGACTCTCTGTACCCTGCTTTGGAAATAGCAGGAAACAGTGACTCAAGCCATCATCTGACAGTAGGACAGCAGAAGCAGGACTCGCCAGGCCACAGGTAAGACCAACCAGGCATTGGCAGGCCAGGCAGGAGCAGGTATCTCAATACTTAGAAAGTGGTCCTGTAGGCTAATCCTCAGAGGGATTCTCTAAGGTGATAAGCAACGGTTCTGGCCCATTTCCTCCAGTCTCTAAAGGATGCAGCCTGGATTCCTTAGGTCAAACCCCTAGGCTTTCCTTCTACTCTGGCCCTTCCAGTCCCTTTTCTGGAAAATGAAACTAAACATGCTTCTTTAATTCTCTCTGGCTGGTTTGTCTGTGATTTACCAGACTTCCTCATGTAAATGTTAAATGAATTTTTTCTATATTTTTTTTAAATAGCCACATTCATAATGGCACTCATGGGCTGAAGAGATGGCTCAGCAGTTAGGAGGGTAAGCTGTTCTTGCAGAAGATGGGAGTTCAGGTCCTACGTCAGGTGACTCATGACATCTGTGACTCTGACATCTTCTAGACTCTCTGGGCATTGCACAAACGTGCACATTCACATGAAAAGAAGAAGATTTTAACAAAAAAAAAATGGGGCCACTGTCATCACATATCAAGTCAGCATGGTTCAGAAACACAGATTAGTCTCACGTCAGCCTGTGTCCAGCCTGGCTTCAGCCTGTGTCCCCTGGAAGATCTGCCATTTCTGTATTGTTGCTGAGGGGGAACAGTAGAACCAGCTCATCTGCGTGACGGACCAAGGACACGATGCAGCGTGAGCGGAACAAGCCAGCCCAGGGCAAGATCACAGTTATTCTGAATTTCAGATAAAGGGCAAAATAAGCTCTTTATGGACATTCATCCCCCACCCCCAAAGCTCGGGATACATGGGATACACTTACAATGAAAATATAAAATCAAATACAATTTCTCATTTAGCTGAGATTCCAATAACAAAGAACTTCTGTCTCCCTATTCTAGAAGATCCCTCAAACATCTCCCACGGGCACTATGCTATCGGGGTATCGGAAGAGGGGGAAGTGGTGCTGAAGCTCAGAAGCTGAATCCTGCATGAGACAGGAACAGACAAGCAAAGCATGGAAAGCCCCTTCCTTCCCTCTGCCGTGAGCAGCTGCTGCCGATCCACACTGCGGTCAGGAAGGCTTGTTAACTACAGCCCAACACCACTTTATAAATCATTACCCACTTCCTGTGCATTAACATTACCAAACAGCAAGGGACAACTTGTAAGCTATTATCCTATGGCCTAGCCTTGCATCAGAAACATTAGCTCGCAGTGCATTTGTGCATTTCAAAATAGGGTAGCTCTTCCTGAGGTCAACTTCTAAACCACTTTGTGATCAACACCTTTTAAAACGACCTTCCCCTGCTTGTCCTGATTTAGCTTTCTTTTTTGTTACATCATCATGATGCAGTCAGGTTTCCAGATTTTCTCCATTACTTCTCAACAGAACAAAGACATTAATAAACAGTGCTTAGTGTTGAAAAAAAAAAAGAATGAAACGTCTATTTATGGACCTTTTTCCAGTGGTTAGGAATAGGGCTGGTAAGATAGCTCAGTGGATAAGAACACTGCTCTTACAGAGGACTTGGGTTCGGTTCTCAGTACCCACATGGCAGTTTCTAACTATGTGAAACCACAGTTCAGTAATCTCTGACGCCCTCTTCTGGCCTCTGTAGGCACTGCATGTATGTGATACAATTTAAATACAGGCAGGCAAAAAACAAAATGAAAAAAAAATAATTAAAATAAAATGTTTGAGAGTTTTAGTGTTTTAGTTAGGGTTACTGTTGCTATGATGAAATACCCTGACCAACAGCAAGTTGGGGAGGGAAAGATTTATTTGACTTACACATCTATATCACTGTTCATTATCAAAGGAACTCAGGACAGGAACTCAAACAGAGCAGGGACCCAGAAGTAGATGCTGATGCAGAGGTTATAGAGGGGTGCTGCTTGCTGCTTGCTTAGACTAACTTGCTCAGCCTACTTGTAGAACCAAGGACCACCCACCCAGGGATGACACCACCCACAATGGGCTGGCCCCTTCTCTATCAATCACTAAGTAAGATAATGCCCTACAATCAGATCTTATGGAGGCATTTTCTCAACCGAGGTTCCCTCCTCCCAGATAACTTGTATTGAGTTGACATAAAACTGCCCAGCCTACTTAGATAACTTGGAACACATTTGTCAGTCTAGAACCAGAAGCATAATGCCTATCAAATGCACAGTGATATTTTCTTTGGTGTTACCTCCATTGCCCAGAAAAACAGACTGTGATGGCAATTCATGGTTTTCAGCTTGTCTACATCTGGAGTGAACTACAATCCAGAAATAGAAGGCATACCTGTGATCCAGATTTTGAGGCTGGAAGACCCAGACTTAACATGGGAGGATACCTGCTTTTGACTCAAATCTTGAGTCACAGTGGCTATGAAAAGCTTAGGTCCAAGCAAAGCAGTCATACGCCTTTAATCCCAGGAGACTGGGGCAAGAAGATCTCTGAGTCCAAGGCCAGCCTGAGACAGAGCAAATTCCAAATTCAGACAAGGTGGTACATACTTTTAATTCGAGCCATACTTTCTGCTGGAGGCCTACATACGGACATTGGAAGAAAGAAGGCTCAGTCTTCTTTGCCTGCTTGCACTTACTTACTTGCCAGCACATCTGTTGAAACCAGATGTTTCAGGATCTTCAGGATTTCATCTTATACAGAAGACCAACTGAAACACTTAGCCTCATGGGACTGAGCAACTACGAGATTCTTGGACTTCCCATTCACAGCTGCCCATTGTTGGGTTAGTTGAACTGCAGACTGTAAGTCATTGCAATAAATTCCCTTACTACCCAGAGACATTCCATAAGCTCCGTGACTCTAGAGAACCCTGACTAATACACAGACCATGCCTGACAACAACTTGCATGGTTGTTCTCTTGCTCCCCTGGCCACCAAAGATGGAACGTGGACACATCCTTTGAAAATGGTGATGATTCTATTTGGGCACCTGGGAATTTGAGGCTGAGACTGAGGAACTGCAGCTCAGCTTCTGAGTGTGAATGGAACTCCACTGTGGAGCCTGGAGAACTGGCTCTATGATAGACGTGCAGATGCAGAAAGGGATCCCTGGGAAGAAAGGAAAAGCAGACAGAAGAATGAGGTAGCAGCTTAAATCATCCATTTGCTCGTGATACAGGACTGAAGAGCCTTCCCTGTATGTCTCAAACAGGAGTCAACACCAGAACCAGAGGAATGAAGAAAGTCTTTCCTGAGGCTCACAGTAAATACAATCGGTTCAACAACCAACAACCAAATATGACATGCCAAAAATAAATGGAAATGTGAGGCAGAGACAAAGACTCTAGAACGGTGTAAAACCATTTTGGATGAAATTCTCAAGGAGACATTCCCAATAGTAAGACTTCAGACAAGCCCTGAGGTAGGTGATGAAACTCTTGAGAGGGAATATGAGGGAGTCGGCTCCATGAGCAGCTTGAGGGAGAATATCTGGTGCTTTTGAAAGATGGCTGAACTCAACTGAGAGACAGTGTGTGACCTCAGGCACAATCATGGGACTCTGGTGGACTGCTCATCTTTGGCAAGCAGCCATCAATCACCCATTGCATTATCTTCTGTGGAGATCAGCAGCAATGAAGATTTGACTGTGGTGGCTGCATATGGCTATACTGCACTCAGAAAGATGAAGCAGGAGGATCACAAGGATGCCACCCTTGGCTACTTAGTGAGAAGTCAGGAGAGAAAGCATGTCAACTGACAGAGAGAGGACTTGCAGTCTGCAGCACTGCAGACGAGGACATAGACCTCACACTTGACACCAAGCAATTTTATATTTGCTTCTATGTCCAAGTCCAGAGCAATGTAGGATATAAGAAAACCATGCAGCCACCAATGAAGCTTGAACATTAGTTCAGAAAGAGGGCACTCTGGGATGAATGTCAGTAGTTAAAACATAGCAGTGGTGATTTAGGATGTTTGCTGCATAAAGATTACCCTGTATAAAGATACCATCATGTAAGCATGGTTCAAACATGAACTACATTTCAGTTAAGTCAAATGTATTTGTAGGAGGGCTGTTGGTATGAAGCTGGAATCAGGCTAAATGTGAGCAGTCTATGTATACATGTGTATAAGTGTATGTATATATAATGATGTCATTTACAATTACTTACACAAGTGCCAACTGAATTTCCACTGGGTAAAAGGATAAACTACAACAACCCTGAGTTATCAGAAACAGGGCACATGCCCACCTCAGCAGCGTATACACTAACACTGCAACAGTAAGAAAAGGTTGGCATGGGCCCTGCACAAGATGACACAAAAATTTATGAAGTGTTCTATATTTAAAAGAAAAATGAAGAAGGGAAGGAAGGAAGGAAGGAAGGAAGGAAGGAAGGAAGGAAGGGGCCCATAGAAAGTTAGAGGAAAGCAGATAATAAGAAAAGTAATGAATAATTTAGACAGAGACAAGGGGCCCTAAAACTGTGGCACCAGGACAAAGGCCAGCAGCTGGTGGCCAGTTAATGACCAGGCTATGCTGAAGGCTAGGGAAGTTCTCTTTGCCCTGAGTGCCTGCTAGCTTTAAGGCACTCCACTGAAGAAGTGCATCATCACATAGAGTGCTAGGTATGTCAAATGTCTCAGGCTTCAGTGGGTAACAGTTTAACATGATCCATGTTAACTGTGCTTGAGGGAAGTTGCACTATTGCGTTTGCTGGTTGTTGGTTTTGAGGTGCCAGGATCACCCCCTGGGGCCTCTGACATGCAAGTGTGTTGCTGCTGAGCTGTATCCTCAGATCCTTAAGCATTCCTTTCTAAGGGTTAGCTTGAAGAACTTTTATTTCCCATGCTTCTTTTGAATGTATCAGCTACCAAGGGTCAGACGATCTCTTCTTACTAGAGCATCAAACCCGACACTTTGGGTCCAACTATTATTGTTGATTCCAAGGTTAATGTGAACCACGGATACAGTTTCTCAAATCATGATTTGGCTTCAAATCATCTCAAGGTTATAACAATGTGTCTGTGGGCAGTTACACGAAACAAGAGAAACAAACATTCCACTGGAGGAAACCCAACCTGGGCATGTCAAGCTGCAGAATTTGGGAGAAAGCAGATGCACTAACCACTATCAAAGCACAGAATTGACCCCAGCATGGCATCTGCCAGCGCTGCTGTCCTAGCCCATGCTCCCTGCTCCCCAAGCTCTCAGAGTGAGCCATCTGCAGATGCCTCATGCTTAGCATTCCAAAGTATTCCCGGTTCCAGTTGCTCTTCATGCTCTTCCTCCCTTCTCTTCATTGGAACCCCACCTTTCAAGACATGGCTCAGTAGACTCTCACCTAGAAATGTCAGTATAGTCTTCACAATACTAATATATGTAGCCCATGCCTGTTGTAACACAGCTCATTGGTTGTAAATCAAAATTCCACAAGCATCCCATAAATAGTGGATTTATCCCTCAAATAGAGTTTCATCCATACATAAGAATATAATTCACTGTGAAGAAGATTGGTGTAAATATATATCCCTACGTGACAAGAATATCTGTGTAAAGTGAAATAAGAAATATATTATTATCCATACATGATTTTAATTATACATGTGTGTGTTTCTTAATGGGAAGAAAATATATATTGTTGAAAATGATGTACACAAAATACTTAGATGGGATTTTTAGAGGCAATACAATAGGAAGTGTCTCTTAAAATATTTTAGTAATTTTAAAAGTTATTCTAAGTTTTAAACTGCAGTGATTGTTGAATCAGATGATAAAAGTATAGAAACAGCATCTCGATGATGGCTGAGTATTTATTGTGACCAAACAGACTAGCACATGTGAACTTAGAATCCTTGAGTGAGAAGACAGAATAGTGAGCCAGAAAAAAAATACCCTAAGAAAACAATAACTAAGAATTTTCTTCAGTTAATGGCAGGCAGTAAGAAGACACAGATACAAAAGCAAAACACGGTGTAACTACAAAATGCTATCCATTCCACAGAGCATGCACAATGGTAGAAAACCAAGAAGAGAAAACTGTCTTCAGGGCTGCTGGAGGAGGGAGATAAGCATTCAAAATATGTAGACAGAGATTGTATTAGCTATGCAGGGAAGTAAAGAGAATTGCTGCACAAATCTCAGAAGCAGTGCAAGCCAGAGATGTTTTTAAAGCGCAGGAGTAAACCCTGTGATAAGGTCTGAATTCCTCGTAGAGTCAAACTGTTTTTTCAGCAGTAAAGTGGAAATATAAACTGTTTGGCTTAGTGTGGTGGCACACACCTGTAGGCCTAGCCCTTGGGAGGCTGAGCCCGAACAATTGTTGATGTAGTTCAAGGCCAGTGTGGGTACACAGTGACACTATCCCAAAAGAAAAAATGGGGGGGGGATGATTCCCTCAAACAAGTGAAAACTGAGTTTATTTCCAGGGACACACAAGGAAGGCATAGAAATCCCTTCAGATGAAAGGACCACAATACCAGACAGATAAGCAAAGAGTGCTAACTAGATACAGAAAAAAGAGAAATAAAAATGTTTTATTTTTAATTTAAAAGACAGCTACCTGTAAAAGTGAATGTATAGTCACATATTATGACTGAAAAATACATACTCATAAACTGTATAGGCATGACACAAAAGAGGAGAGAGAAGGCTCTGCAAGGTACACCATACCAACCTGATGCTAGTCATCCAGCAATGTATTCTTATGTCAAGATAGACTTGGATGATTCAAGTTGCATATATTGAAACAGCAAGAAGGCTCAGTGCAGCACTTACTGCCAATCCTGACCTGAATCCCATGACAGAATCTACAAGGTAGGAGAGAACTGACTTCTAACAATTTGTCCTCTGACCTCCACAAGTGCTGGCATACAGACACTACACACACACACACACACACAC